TGCACTGTTGTCCTGCTTGTGTTGGGCTGTGCACTGTTGTCCTGCTTGTGTTGGGCTGTGCATTGTTGTCCTGCTTGTGTTGGGCTGTGCACTGTTGTCCTGCTTGTGTTGGGCTGTGCACTGTTGACCTGCTTGTGTTGGGCTGTGCACTGCTGTCCTGCTTGTGTTGGGCTGTGCACTGTTCACCTGCTTGTGTTGGGCTGTGCACTGTTGTCCTGCTTGTGTTGGGGTGTGCACTGTTGTCCTGCTTGTGTTGGGCTATGCACTGTTGTCCTGCTTGTGTTGGGCTGTGCACTGTTGACCTGCTTGTGTTGGACTGTGCACTGTTGTCCTGCTTGTGTTGGGCTGTGCACTGTTGTCCTGCTTGTGTTGGGCTGTGCACTGTTGTCCTGCTTGTGTTGGGCTGTGCACTGTTGTCCTGCTTGTGTTGGGCTGTGCACTGTTGACCTGCTTGTGTTGGGCTGTGCACTGTTGTCCTGCTTGTGTTGGGCTGTGCACTGTTGTCCTGCTTGTGTTGGGCTGTGCACTGTTGTCCTGCTTGTGTTGGGCTGTGCACTGTTGACCTGCTTGTGTTGGGCTGTGCACTGTTGTCCTGCTTGTGGTAGGCTGTGCACTGTTGTCCTGCTTGTGTTGGGCTGTGCACTGTTGTCCTGCTTGTGTTGGGCTGTGCACTGTTGGCCTGCTTGTGTTGGGCTGTGCACTGTTGACCTGTTTGTGTTGGGCTGTGCATTGTTGTCCTGCTTGTGTTTGGCTGTGCACTGTTGACCTGCTTGTGTTGGGCTGTGCACTGTTGACCTGCTTGTGTTGGGCTGTGCACTGTTGTCCTGCTTGTGTTGGTCTGTGCACTGTTTTCCTGCTTGTGTCGGGCTTTGCACTGTTGTCCTGCTTGTGTTGGGCTGTGCACTGTTGACCTGCTTGTGTTGGGCTGTGCACTGTTGTCCTGCTTGTGTTGGGCTGTGCACTGTTGACCTGCTTGTGTTGGGCTGTGCACTGTTGTCCTGCTTGTGTTGGGCTGTGCACTGTTGTCCTGCTTGTGTTGGGCTGTGCACTGTTGTCCTGCTTGTTTTGGGCTGTGCACTGTTGTCCTGCTTGTGTTGGGCTGTGCACTGTTGACCTGCTTGTGTCGGGCTGTGCACTGTTGACCTGCTTGTGTTGGGCTGTGCACTGTTGACCTGCTTGTGTTGGGCTGTGCACTGTTGTCCTGCTTGTGTTGGGCTGTGCACTGTTGTCCTGCTTGTGTTGGGCTGTGCACTGTTGTCCTGCTTGTGTTGGGCTGTGCACTGTTGTCCTGCTTGTGTTGGGCTGGGCACTGTTGACCTGCTTGTGTTGGGCTGTGCACTGTTGTCCTGCTTGTGTTGGGCTGTGCACTGTTGTCCTGCTTGTGTTGGGCTGTGCACTCTTGACCTGCTTTTGTTGGGCTGTGCACTGTTGTCCTGCTTGTGTTGGGCTGTGCACTGTTGTCCTGCTTGTGTTGGGCTGTGCACTGTTGTCCTGCTTGTGTTGGGCTGTGCACTGTTGTCCTGCTTGTGTTGGGCTGTGCACTGTTGTCCTGCTTGTGTTGGGCTGTGCACTGTTGTCCTGCTTGTGTTGGGCTGTGCACTGTTGTCCTGCTTGTGTTGGGCTGTGCACTGCTGTCCTGCTTGTGTTGGGCTGTGCACTGTTGACCTGCTTGTGTTGGGCTGTGCACTGCTGTCCTGCTTGTGTTGGGCTGTGCACTGTTGTCCTGCTTGTGTTGGGCTGTGCACTGTTGATTTGCTTGTGTTGGGCTGTGCACTGTTGACCGGCTTGTGTTGGGCTGTGCACTGTTGGCCTGCTTGTGTTGGGCTGTGCACTGTTGTCCTGCTTGTGTTGGGCTGTGCTCTGTTGTCCTGCTTGTGTTGGGCTGTGGACTGTTGTCCTGCTTGTGTTTGGCTGTGCACTGTTGTCCTGCTTGTGTTGGGCTGTGCGCTGTTTACCTGCTTGTGTTGGGCTGTGCACTGTTGACGTGCTTGTGTTGGGCTGTGCACTGTTGTCCTGCTTGTGTTAGGCTGTGCACTGTTGTCCTGCTTGTGTTGGGCTGTGCACTGTTGTCCTGCTTGTGTTGGGCTGTGCACTGTTGTCCTGCTTGTGTTGGGCTGTGCACTGTTGTCCTGCTTGTGTTGGGCTGTGCACTGTTGTCCTGCTTGTGTTAGGCTGTGCACTGTTGTCCTGCTTTTGTTGGGCTGTGCACTGTTGTCCTGCTTGTGTTGGGCTGTGCACTGTTGTCCTGCTTGTGTTGGGCTGTGCACTGTTGTCCTGCTTGTGTTAGGCTGTGCACTGTTGTCCTGCTTGTGTTGGGCTGTGCACTGTTGACCTGCTTGTGTTGGGCTGTGCACTGATGTCCTGCTTGTGTTGGGCTGTGCACTGTTGTCCTGCTTGTGTTGGGCTGTGCACTGATGTCCTGCTTGTGTTGGGCTGTGCACTGTTGTCCTGCTTGTGTTGGGCTGTGCACTGTTGACCTGCTTGTGTTGGGCTGTGCACTGTTGTCCTGCTTGTGTTGGGCTGTGCACTGTTGTCGTGCTTGTGTTGGGCTGTGCACTGTTGTCCTGCTTGTGTTAGGCTGTGCACTGTTGACCTGCTTGTGTTGGGCTGTGCACTGTTGTCCTGCTTGTGTTGGGCTGTGCACTGTTGTCCTGCTTGTGTTGGGCTGTGCACTGTTGTCCTGCTTGTGTTGGTCTGTGCACTGTTGTCCTGCTTGTGTTGGGCTGTGCACTGTTGACCTGCTTGTGTTGGGCTGTGCACTGATGTCCTGCTTGTGTTGGGCTGTACACTGCTGTCCTGCTTGTGTCGGGCTGTGCACTGCTGTCCTGCTTGTGTTGGGCTGTGCACTGTTGCCCTGCTTGTGTTGGGCTGTACACTGTTGTCCTGCTTGTGTTGGGCTGTACACTGTTGTCCTGCTTGTGTTGGGCTGTGCACTGATGTCCTGCTTGTGTTGGGCTGTGCACTGTTGTCCTGCTTGTGTTGGGCTGTGCACTGTTGTCCTGCTTGTGTTGGGCTGTGCACTGTTGTCCTGCTTGTGTTGGGCTGTGCACTGTTGTCCTGCTTGTGTTGGGCTGTGCACTGTTGTCCTGCTTGTGTTGGGCTGTGCACTGTTGTCCTGCTTGTGTTGGGCTGTACACTGTTGTCCTGCTTGTGTTGGGCTGTGCACTGATGTCCTGCTTGTGTTGGGCTGTGCACTGTTGTCCTGCTTGTGTTGGGCTGTGCACTGTTGTCCTGCTTGTGTTGGGCTGTGCACTGTTGACCTGCTTGTGTTGGGCTGTGCACTGATGTCCTGCTTGTGTTGGGCTGCGCAATGTTGTCCTGCTTGTGTTGGGCTGTGCACTGATGTCCTGCTTGTGTTGGGCTGTGCACTGTTGTCCTGCTTGTGTTGGGCTGTGCACTGTTGTCCTGCTTGTGTTGGGCTGTGCACTGTTGTCCTGCTTGTGTTAGGCTGTGCACTGTTGTCCTGCTTGTGTTGGGCTGTGCACTGTTGACCTGCTTGTGTTGGGCTGTGCACTGATGTCCTGCTTGTGTTGGGCTGTGCACTGTTGTCCTGCTTGTGTTGGGCTGTGCACTGATGTCCTGCTTGTGTTGGGCTGTGCACTGTTGTCCTGCTTGTGTTGGGCTGTGCACTGTTGTCCTGCTTGTGTTGGGCTGTGCACTGTTGTCCTGCTTGTGTTGGGCTGTGCACTGTTGTCCTGCTTGTGTTGGGCTGTGCACTGTTGACCTGCTTGTGTTGGGCTGTGCACTGTTGACCTGCTTGTGTTGGGCTGTGCACTGTTGACCTGCTTGTGTTGGGCTGTGCACTGTTGTCCTGCTTGTGTTGGGCTGTGCACTGTTGTCCTGCTTGTGTTGGGCTGTGCACTGTTGTCCTGCTTGTGTCGGGCTGTGCACTGTTGTCCTGCTTGTGTTGGGCTGTGCACTGTTGTCCTGCTTGTGTCGGGCTGTGCACTGTTGTCCTGCTTGTGTCGGGCTGTGCACTGTTGTTCTGCTTGTGTTGGGCTGTGCACTGTTGACCTGCTTGTGTCGGGCTGTGCACTGTTGTCCTGTTCGTGTTGGGCTGTGCACTGTTGTCCTGCTTGTGTTGGGCTGTGCACTGTTGTCCTGCTTGTGTTGGGCTGTGCACTGTTGACCTGCTTGCGTTGGGCTGTGCACTGTTGACCTGCTTGTGTTGGGCTGTGCACTGTTGACCTGCTTGTGTTGGGCTGTGCACTGTTGACCTGCTTGTGTTGGGCTGTGCACTGTTGTCCTGCTTGTGTTGGGCTGTGCACTGTTGTCCTGCTTGTGTCGGGCTGTGCACTGTTGTCCTGCTTGTGTTGGGCTGTGCACTGTTGACCTACATGTAGTGGGGTGGTCAGACACACATAGACTGCAATGCTAACTTGTAAGCAGTGCGGAGTGCAACGTTGTCTTGGTTCTGCTGGGCTGTGCATGACGTAATGATTTGATCAGTTCCTTAACACGACATACTAGTACATACTTGCAGCGGTGCTAGTTTGTAAGCATTGCGGACGGCAGTGTAGTACACTCATACCTCACTCTCTCTCTCTCGTATCCAGACCTCGTAGTTACAGGCATCTTGGTGTACCGGGTACCCTGTGGGTGAGTTTTAGTCGAAATATTACTACTCCGGTGTGGCTAACACCCCCTGGAAAATACGGTAGCTGTGTAAGAATCACAAAGTACAGTAAAACCTGTCAAGGCGACCACTCGGATAAGACGACCACCTGTCCTAGAAGACCACTGCAACCAGGACCAAGGGATGCTATTTCCAGTCAAATGACCCTGGATACGGAGACCGCCTGGTAACAGAGACCACGTTTTGAAGGCGCCTTCAGCGGTCGCCTTCGACAGGTTTCACACAGTATTCACTTTAGGAACAACTATGACCAACGCTATTCTATAGCTGGTGATGCGGGGCGTCTTTAGGTTACCAACTGTGCATTGCAGGCATAGTGTGATTGTGTGGCGTTAAAAGCTTGTCTCTTCAACTTGTGCTCCAGAAATGGACCAGATTCGCCTGATGGTGGACATTCTCGGCATCCCGGAGAAGTCCATGATGGACAATCTAGAGCTGACGGTGCGTATCCGATTTTGAACGCGCGTGCAAACACGCTAGCTTGCTGCTACTTTTAAAGCCGGCATTGAATGCTGTGCTTCTGTAGGATGCTCAACAGGACTGCCCGTGTGTGTCATGCGGGGCCTGTGTTATTTCTGTGTACTGTAGAGGCAAACAATTTCGTCGGTCAATAATTTCGTCCAACTCCAAAGAAAAGGAGTTCGTCCGGTTGAAAATTTTGTCCATGGATCATAATACTTCGAGTAGTGTATAGGAAAGCTGGACAAATCGACATTAGCCCGGCATTTAATTTTCGTCCAAAAGCTCCTTGGACGAAAAAGACGAAGTTAAATTCCAGACGAATATTTCTGCTTGTACAGTAGTTATTAGTGGACACTAACCACAGCACTGCACTTGTGTCTCGTACTTACTTGTATGTGCATGAACCCTTGGGTTCCGGTAGGTCGATTTCTACCTAAGCTGACAGGTGAATACTAAGGTTGATCGTAGAGCCAGTCTCCTACATCTCAGATGCCTGATTTTGTTCACAGAGACCCCCTAGCAGCTGGCCTATCCATAGCTATAAAGAACGCTGTGGGGTTACATTTGATAATTTCAAGTTTGGATTGATGTGATCGTGCACATGGCGTGCAGCACATGCTTTGTCAGGACTTGGGAACCAAAGGGCTAACCGACGACTGCTTCATTGCATGTAGGGATCTTTATACCGAAATTACTACAATGGCAATTTGGTACGCAGAGTATGGGCAGTGCGGAGAGCTCTGGAAGCAACTACTAAGTGCCAGTCCCCACTTCTGTTACCGATGCTGCTGATGTTGTTAATGCTGATGTTGTTGCTGTTGCTGTTGCTACTGCTGGTGGTGGTTCTGTCTTGCTCAATGCGCAGGCCCGGTCGTTTTTCGAGAATCAAGCGCATCGTGACATCCCTCCGTTGGAAACACGCTTCCCTGGTGCTGATCTAGCAGGTCAGGGATTTGAAACTTTCTTTTCTGTGTTCTTACTCAACTCACTTGCTGCAGTGTCCATCACCATTGTATTCTATGTGAGAAGTAATGGTACGAACGGCCTAGTCGAAATTAGATGGCGTCTGTGCTCTGTGTGCTGATTTGTTTCTCTCCAACCAAGAATCCATACTTCAAAAGTACAATACCGTAGTTACAGGTAACCTTGACAACAGGCAAGAGTGCTCAGTGCGGGTGCTGACTGGCCAGCACTCCAGCTGTGTTCTTATGATAGCATCGTGGCGTGAAACTCTGAGCAGAGATGTACAGTAAAAACCTGTGACTAACGACCACCCGTTGGCCTTGGGGCCAGAGAAAGCGGTCTTTAGTGGCCGGTGGTCCCTAGTTAGAGATTTCCGCCGCATAAAAAACATATTATGAATGTGAGACTGTCCGTGCCTGGCAAAGTGGTCTGCAGTACCGGGCTGGTCGCTAGTCACGGTGGTCTTTAGTTGCAGGTTATACTGTACAAAGTACATGTCCTGACGTTCTTCCACTGGAACTTGCGTTCACTACAGTACACGCCAGTACTGCTCAATGAAATCCAGTCACAGCGTCACTCAAGCACGTGCCGAGCGTTGCGCAGCCCTAGACCTGCTAACACCGGGCTGCGGAATAGTGCAAGGCGCAAACTGGAGTAGCACTACCGGATTTCGTTGAGCAGGACTGCATACTGTGTGTTATCCATGTTGACGTGATAGTGCTGTTGCGCACGCTTGCTTCTTACTTGTGATAGTTCAAGTGAACGCTTGATACTTCGAAGTAAGAACTGTGCGTACCGCATGAGCAATGGTGGCCTGTGGGGCGTCTTCTTCGGTAGTACATCTTCTGGTAGTTGACTCCCGTGCCAAACGGTCAGGTGGGAAGACGAATGGCAAGCGTTTCCCATATTTCTTGCCATTCTTTTGGTATTATAATTGACTGATTGCTTTTTCGTTGTTGTAATTCCACTGCATGTGTGCGTGAAAGTGCTTCTGGCATTGTGATGCTTCCCGACAATTCAGGGAATCAGTCTTGAACTTCATGGCTCCATACAGTAGCTATGCATGCCTCCTCATCTCTTTCCCTTGCTGCCTGCCTGTACTTTCTTGATGTCCGCTCACAGCGCTGGATCTTCTGGGCAGCTTGCTGAAGTATGATCCCAGCGTGCGGCTAAGTGCAAAGGCTGCTCTGCAGCATCACTACTTTCAGGAAATCTTCAATCAAGAAGACCTGGTGAGTTCCACCAAGACAGGGTTCTAGCCAGGTAAAAATGTTGGTGGTGGGAGGGGCAGGAAAAAATGACAGTTCAACCAATTTTCCATGTTCCACTATTGCCTTGTCACACAAAAATGAAACGTACAGACGCAGCAAGCACCTGGAATGATTGATTTTTGGCCCCCGGCTTCGTTGTGTGAACTGAAAAAAAAACACAAAAATGGACAAATGAGTAGCGTGGTGCGCTATCAGAGTAGGGGTGAGGAGGGGGCATCAGAGCAGGGGACGCTGTGCCCCCTACCCCCCCCCCCCTTTGGCTAGAACCCTGCTTTGAAGACAAACCTACTCCCAGCCAATGCTTTCGCAATGACAGGGCCTGAACAACGGCACACAACAAGAGTTTGTGCGCCTAAGGACGCAGATGCCTGAAAACAATACACATGTACACAATCATAATATTTGGTATTTCCAGTGTTTTGCTGGTTTTGATAGCCATAATTCGATAACATTGCATGTCGCTGATCAACGAAAATTCAGCGATCCTTATGGTAAATTCATGTTAAAATAATTTTGTGATCTTACATGATCTCGTGGCTGGTTTGGTTCCAGCTGCACGCTTCAACAAACTGACTGCAAAAGCATTGCAGCTGCGATATGTTTTTGTGATTCACGGCCTGAGCCCGGACTGGTTTTGCATGCACAACGACGTCCTGGTCATCTCTGTGCCTCCTGTGTCTCCTGACTGCTGGCTAGATGTGTGCACCCGTTATCAAGAGCTCGCGCATCGATGAACTGGACTTGTCCTGTCAGCAGTGGAAAGGTTAGCGTCGGACAGTACTACGTACATGCCACCTCATTGCCCTAATTAACCTGGCACTAAACTGCTGACACGGGTATCGGCTTCTTAATTGGACTCTCTCCATGCAATGCGATAAATAAAAAAATGATGCCGACATAATACCATGTAACAATCATGAAATGCAAAACTGTAAAAAACTTGATTCATGAACGTTTTTCTTTCGATGGTCATCAGTGAACCTACATCGAATGGTGACTTGCAGGTGAATAAACGATATTATTGGGCTAGCCTGCATAGGGATTGTGTATGTCTTAGTCTTAACTATAGATCATGCAGACGCATGTTGCACAGGCAAGCGGATTTCCCCCCTTCGGCTATTGGCCGGATCATGCTTTTACTCTTGCAAGAAATGTCTTATCTTTGTTCTTCTTCGAAAAAAAATGCACGGGTTCGCATACATGGCGGGTCGAGAATCACCTTTCCGCTTCCATGGGACACCACACCCTATGATCAGGCGTCAGATGCGGCCCCTAAACGGTGGGGGAGGATAGATCAGATCCATGAACCAGCTTCAAAGCACATGAAAAAACACTTTTCCGAGCATCACGGTGCAGCCGGTCTAGGGCGACCCATCATTCCGGGGTTTTTCCAGGTTTGGATGCCCTTTCGATCAAACATTCTTGGGCAAGCTAAGCGACTTTCCACTTCAAAACTGCTTCGGGAATTGCGGAACTATTCATGACCTTTGTCCCATCATAGATGAGATAGAAAACGAGTCGCATATCCATGTTGGTTGATCCAAGTTCACATAGCAGTAATTCTGGGATGCAACTGGATAAAGTATGTTTAGCCTAAATGTGGCCCAAAGTGGGCTTGGGAAAGCAAGTTCAATTCCTCCTGTGTGTGTGTGTGTGTGTGTGTGTGCATGTGTGTGTGTGTGTGTGTGTGTGTGTGTATTTGTGTATGCATGCGTGTGCACGTGTGTGTGTGTTCAGGTCAGCTATACAAAGAATTGCTGGAGGCACAAGCCGTTCTTTGCAGTGACCGGTAGCGTTGCTGGTTCTCTCCTTGCGTCTGTCTTGACGCACTTGAACGTTATATTCTGCGAGTTCCTCGTGCCTCTATCCTCTCTGCCGAAGATCACAATACCCTCCCTCAGATACTTTGAAATCGTGCATTACTGGCTCTTAACTACCACCACTCAGAGTCCACTCCCCCCACCCCTTTTACTGATTGGATTTATTTATTTTGTACACTTGGCGCATTCCAACAAAACTTGATGGACAATTCAGTCGGAGCCGTGCCAGTTTCTCTGCTTTTCAGATTCCTGGTAGGTGCCGGCCTCTCTGGCCGCAGTGTTCCTCACTGAGCTGACTCTATCTTATTTCGGGGCAGCCCGGCAGCAACCACGGGCAGGACACTGCGCTAGCTGTCCTTGATCAGTCAGTATTGCTGTTTAACCCTGCCAAGACTATCTAGAATTGGGAAATAGTTAATTACCCGTAACCCATTTTTTTTGCACTTTCTGAAACGGTCTTGCCAAACAAAAAGCATCGTATAGGGCCAATGCCAGACTTCGCCCAAGACAAATGTGCCTTTTTGAACCCTCTAGTAGTGAATATCGACTGAATTTTCGTCGAATGCATGAAAAAAACAAAAAATCGACAAATAAGGGGCCGTCGCAAAACCATTCTGTCATTCCTGAAAGGAACATTGATCATTTCGTACTTGGATCCCACCCCCTCCCTCTGAAACGAACACAGCTTGCTTAGCTGGACGACGGAAATCGCATGCATGTATTATGTACAGTGTCGGTCGACTTGCGATTTTGGCTCGCAAATCTGAGGTCTATAGTCCGTCAATACAGGATATGGTATCTGGCTATAGCCAATGCAGACCGACTGTGAGGTCTATGATCTATTTATTGTCTTCTCCATGATCATCCGATACTTGTCAAGAAGTCCGATACAAACAGCCAAACGTTATTGCATGTTTACTTAGTCAAGCATGCAGTGCATTTGACCACTACGTGTATAAATGTTTGAAACAGTGACCCAAACACAACATACATGTAGCTCACACGGCACACAAATGCACCCATCCGATGACAATAAATGAATAATTGGCTGTACATGTACTGGGACGCTTTTACAAAAAGTGAAGTGTACCAAGTACAAGACTTAAGCGGGATTCACAGAAGCTTTTTCGCGATGCGACACGCGATGCGACGCGATCTGCGACGCACGCGTGCGATGCGAACTCGCGAAATACCATTCACAGAAGAAGTCAGCGATGCGACAATGCCTTGCTGATTTGGCGCGAAGTTCAATGCAGGTTGGTACGTCACCATGGTATTCGCGCGGTTTGGCACAACTTGTACAAATTTACAGGCGACTCTTGAACCTTTGTACAACTTTGCTGCAGAAAAGGTCAAAATCGTACGCCAAATCGCTTGTCGCATCGCAACAGTTGAGCCAAGCTCAACTTCTGCGATGGCCCAGTTCCCGGCAGTTGCGTCAACTTGCGTGGGGTGCGAGATGGCTGTGATTTGGGGATTTCCCTGTTTCGCGGCAGTCGCATCGTGTGTCGCATCGCAAAAAAAGCTTCTGTGAATCCCGCTTAAGTGCGGCTGAAGTCTGTCCCGGGGAAAATCGCGGAAAAAATCCCAGAATTTGCGGGGTAATTTGCGGGTAAATATGGCATAATTTGCGTTGAATTTGCGGTAAATATGCGGTAAATATTATTGATATGCGGCAAGTTTGCAGTTGATACGAGGCAATTTTCAGTGACTATGTAGTGAAATCAATCAGTTACAAGTCTCTGGTGTAAGCACTCGTCATATTTGAGTACAAAGCCGCCACGATGAGACGTTGCTAACCGAAAAGTGCACTGTGTGTACGTGTAGTGCAACAAAAAAGTTCAAAAAACGCGGAAAACATGATCTTATAAAAATCGCAAAAAAAACGAGGGGAAAAAACGTGGCCGCGGAATCGCGATTTTCCCCGGGGACAGTGAAGTACATACATTCACAGGCACACAAAAGCCGGCACAACGGAGTTTTACAGATTTGTCGCAACTCAGAGTTTCTTGCTCAATGCAATCATCAGGCGACTATTATTGTGTTGAGCCCTCTCCGCTGGCAGGACGAAGTTTTCCTCCTTGCACATTTATAGGCATGTAATATTCAGCAACTTCAGGGATGAATTTATCCTGCATCTCAGTTTGCTACGCAAAACCAATCTACTGCTACACAAAAAATCACAGTGACACGCAGAAAACTGCCATACATACATGTACAGGCGATCCATGCTGTTTGTAGCTTACGCCACAAATTAGATTTTGCATAGCAAAAACTGCTATGCAAAAACGTGACAGTAAATATTTAATTCATCCCTGAACTTAGCATTTTTAAAATAAAGCTGAAAACTAACCAGTTACTGGTAATGTATACACCACACATTGGAATACAATGTGGCAACTGTCTTTGTCACTTACATGCGCCAGCAATGACAGGCCGATGGGTGGAGCGGTTGTGCGATCGGGATCTACTCATCAGCCGCAGACTCGAAAGTGCTAACGAGGCAAGCAAATCATTTGAACAAAATGATATTCAGAAGCGCAGGCGGAAGATCCAGACTTTGAATGGCCTTCACTACACCATGCCCGTGACATGCTTCAATGATAACCGAGCGGCACAACCGAACAAGAGACTTTGGCTTGGGCGTAGGCTGGAGCACATCGGACAAACTGACTTTCCGCTGATCCTCAGATAGTGTCACGTCACACTGACAAGACGGACCATCATGAAGATATCTATTGATAAGAGGAATCTCTTCAGCGGTAGATAGACCAGGAAGACCACCGTGTTTCACAAGCAGCTGCACGACTGGATCCTCCACCGACTTTGCCAGTTGAAGCCTGCCTACAACTGGCGGCGTACCATTTGATCTTACCGGTAGTGAACACACAAAAGCCGAAGGAAGCATCTTCCATGCTTGTCGCCACGTCTGTTCTGTCTTACATGGTGCAAGAAAATTCCAATAACGAGCATCCTGGGCAACAAAGGACTGAGATCTGTCTGCATCCATCCCGCGTACTTCAGCCTCGGCATTCTCCAATCCAATCCACGCCTTGCACAGTGCGTCTGCGTTGGCGACTGGCAAACCAGCTGGCTCTGCGCCCTCCTGCAGGAGATTTTGTACAATAGCGGTGAGCTTCTCAATTTGTTCTTCACTACCGTGGTCACGGCCATTGCTGAGGATCAAGCAGTATCTTTCCAAAAGCAGTGTGCAACAAAACTTCTTGCATACCCGTTCCGCTTCTGTTAGGCATGCTATACCCAGCACTGAACTCCGAAACGGGCATGGGACTCGCAGAAGCAAATGTTCAAAGCCTGACGTGCAGCATGCTGCATCCCACCGACAGTAGGGCAGTACACGTGTGGCGCTCTCCACGTGACCTGCTTCTCGCATCTTGCACACCTCGGTGACTGGTGGAGGGTACGCAGGGTTCAGACATAATGCTTCGCAAGTGACGTGATCATCGCTACACTGGGCGTATGTTGAACGGTGTAGAGTAGCGCGGCAGTCATGATCACCCCTGGCACCCTGATAAGGCGATGCACCGTGTGCTACAAGACACCGCACTATGCCGGCATGCTTCAGCTTTGCTGCTACATAGATTGGACTTTGCTTCAAATGTACATTGAAGGTGCCACGGTGACTGCATGGATTACCAAGACACTTCAAATCCAATGTTGCATCAGCTCCCCTTGTCAACAGGCACTGAACCATCTCCTCATTTCCAGTAAAGATGGCACAGTGCAGCAAATTCAATCGGAGCAAATTATTGCCGCCACATTCCATGTTCACAAGTTCGGTGATATCTGGTGGAGCATACGACGTCACTACCTCCTCAGCCTTCTGATCTGATGACTGAGAGACTGGCAGCAAGCCTGGCAAACTAGTAATGAGTCTAGCATTCTGCAACTCCAGAACAAATTCATTGCGACCTCTGCCTCCGACTTTGGCACACACCATCAGTGTGTCATGAGACTCCGTGCTGTAGCCGCTTCTCCTCGCAGCTGCATCACTGGCGGGGCTGGCCGAGGACGTCCATGGCTCAGTTGGGGATTCTTGGCCAGCCTGTTTCCTCTGAAATGCGTGCAAAGTTTTCAAAACCTGCTGCACCGCCGCTACGCGTCCATTGCTCACTAATTTTCGCAGAAATAGTAAAACTGCCGTGTAGTCTCTGCTACAGTTGTCTGCGTTTACTCCGTTAGCGACGACCATACGCAGCGTTATATCATGCGCTGCTGCTTCGTTGACACCATCAGTCTGGCGGAGGATGTCGGCAGCGTCATGAAGAATTCGATGGTCGTGACATGATGGATCCTGGGATGCCATTGGAGGATTCCTGCTTCTCTCACACCGTGGCGTGATCACTGGCACTCTTTACTGCTGCCTGACCTGCGGAGATCTGCAGTACACAGAGAATAATAGTAATGCCAACGACTTGACTTGGTCTGTGAGGCAAAGCTCAGAAACAGATCGGAAGTGAAGAAGAATTCCACTCCCCCTTGTCGAAATCGCCGTGGTTGACTAGGACTGGGTTCACTGACCTGAGTTGCCTCGACGGTTTGGGCAGGTTAGAAACCGCACGACAACCTCGCTACGGCCCAGTAGATCTACGGCCGGGCCCTTTTCAACAGTACAGATGCGCACGTATCTGGATAGGAGTTTCAGCGTGTCTCGCGAGTCGCTCAGCTCAGGCGCATTTAGTCCAAACAATTTTATTTTTTCAACGAAGGCTGAAAGCAGAATGCAGTAAGTAGTTGAAGACACCCTGCCACGTGTGGTTTTACCACCACTCGAATCCACCAAAGGCTGAAAGCAGAGAAGTAAACACTGTCTTTGTAGTTGCAGTGTGAAACGCGCCGTGAACATCAGATTCTCTTGTCTTGGCTTGTCAAAGCCTAAAAATAGGGTTGAGTCAGTTGAGCTTGAGCTGAGAGGGCCGCAGTCAGAAGTAATAGTTCTCAGAACTGGCCGGCCTGGGTAGGTACTACTACTACGTGGCGGTGTTGCTCTGTTGCCATGCCAATACAAAATGGCAACCCCTGGCCATACCAGTTAGTGATCGTCTCTGAAAAATTAGGGGAAGAAGAACCAAGTTTGCTTGCGCTGCGAGCCATTTTCTGTGGCGCTGTCGTCCATTTTCGCCGAGCCTAATTTTAGGCTAGCTTCAAGAGCGATAGTGGGCGGAGCATCTACAACGGAATCGGAGCTGGTATTGAAGCGTAAACGAAAGGAGAGAGGAGCGAGAGTGTTTGGAAGAGTACCGGCGATGGCGATTCAAGCAGCATTGTCCTTTCACGACGCCAATAATCGCCTGCTCGAAGTAGAGGCATCATGGCCGCAATCATGGCCGCCATTGCATTATGACCCTAATTCAAAGGCGCTTGCGCCTCCTGAGTTCTGAAATGGCGACGAAAGCCCTGAGATGTTCCTTGCGGGTCATGCCGGGGAGTTTGGAAGAGTTTCCTGTTCAAATTACCCGCCTTTTGTGCTCTTTTATACAACACGCCTAAAATTAGGCTTTCGCAACTAACGTTACTTTACTTGCAAGACAAGCGAAGATATGCCATCATTATCATGATTATGGTTTGCATCGGATCGATTGGCACACCAAGTACCTACAGGCTACACTATCCAGCGCCAGGCAAGGCGATGATTGTATCGCGCTGTGTTGAACGGTTGAGCCGGGTTCTGACTGACTCGGTGGCGTGCAGCGTGGTGTGTTCTGCTCGAGCGTCAACGACGCCAACGACGTCACCATGGTCACGTCTATAGGGCTTGAAAGTGCTACGTCACAGCATAGCAACAATTTCAAAAATTCAAAAATTGGATCCACTTGGATCCAGTTTTGTATGGATCCAAGCACATTTCAAGCCGTCTTACTCACAGCAAGGTGATGTAACCAGTGAAACTGACTGATTTGGTTACTGAGGCGGGGTTACAACTGCCACGCTCTCGGGACGTGCTGATTGGTCAAGGGCCTGAAATGCCACCGCATGGATACATGGACCGGATATCAGGCTTTTTCTTTCTCTCTTGAGTTGTTCCACCTCGATCAGGTAAGTCTCTCCACGTGCGAGTATACTCATCACGTGATCATTCATGTTCTCCTACGGTGCCATTCAACTTTTCAAGCCCAAGGCCGAACTGGTCGCGAAGTAAAAGTCACCCCTGCGTACGACATGAGTGGGTTGCTATGCACCCACATACTGAGGCAATAGAAAAGTCACACCTTCGTGGATCCAAAATAGAAATCTGATGTCAACTTACTACTCCCTGGCCGTTTTTGACGTCATCACTTTCAAGCCCTATAGTCAGTAGAGATCTAGTCTGTACCGTTTGGTCCTCAGGAGTGACGTCTGGGTGTGAGGTGATTATGCATGTCATCACCATGGTCAGTTGATCACACTACTGACTACTGTCACTAGTCTTCATCTTTTCTTCATTCAGCATCGGGAACAAAGCAGGTTCGCCACGCAAAGTGGTCATTGGCTACTACTACTAGGGTCCGGCGGATTCTGCCGGCAGAAAAATTGGCAGAATTCGGTACTTTTTCTGGTAAGTTTCAAGCATGTTTGGTATGTGGATAAAGAAATGGAGCAGGAATTGCCCGCCATAAGGTTTGTATGGTTCTTTCACTGCTTTTCGAGCAGAATCCGCCGGTCCCCCAGCCATGATGTATTGCTTGGAATAAAATAAATAAATAAATGGTTGATTGTGCATGATGTGGCGATATGCAGCTAGCTGTATACATAATGTAGTTCTAGGACATTATTAATTTTTTACTATGTTCACATACCCAATAGCAAGGTCCCTGGTTCGAGTCCCGGTGGTGTGACTGATGATTTTTTCTTTCTTTCATATCTGGCTTGCAAGTGTTGAGTTTCGGAAAGAAAAGAGCAGTACGTGGCATGTGGCCTCTAATTAATATTTCCTAAAACTTTGAAATTCTCCGTGAAGTCCAAATTTGAAATTGCAATTCACATACCCAACTCGTAAAAATTAATAATGAAAGACATTGGTACTGAGACTAGGACAAACATGACAACTACTGAGTAGGGGCTGCACCCAGACGCAGCAGTGATGGTGGGGCATTGGTCAATTATTTGATGGCTTTGCCGACCTGGGGTCTCGGCATCACGGCCAGAAACACGCACCAAAAACGAAAGGTAGAGCTGCAAGTAACTGTAAGGGTCAGCAAAATAAAAAGAAAGCAAGGGCTAACATCAGCTAGTGTGCAGCGCAGCATCGATTCGTAGTAATGGGAGTCGTTGACGGGGCACTAGAATGTAGGTGGGTCGACAGGCAGAATGTCCGTGGACCATCGCCAATCCTGTCGGCGGAGGTATTCGTTGACGTTGCTTTTAAACTTTTACTTTTTTCTTTTGAAGATTGTTGCGAGTTGGGGCGGAGTCTAGAAAAGCTGGCGGCAGGGAATTCCACAGCTGGATTGCACAATACGGGAAACTGCGGAGAATGGCGTCTGGTGCTTCACGCAGTAGGGGATTTCTAAGCTGGTAACTGTGGCCGGTGGCCGTGCGGAGATCGTTTTGAGTGCGAGTGGCGTCACGGGGCTCCAGCCTTGGAGGAAGGACTGCTAGCAATTGATTCGGACCTGTGAGGAAGTGTAGTTTGTACGTGTAGTTTAGTGCAGCAATATAATAATCACCGCAGGCTGAGGCTCTGGAGCTCCGTCCCGGACCAACGATGCGCAATTATGAAAAGATGAACTAGCGTGCTCAAAGAAGCAGCCCGCCGCGGTTGGCGAATGTATTGGCGAACCACAAAAAAAGAAGAGCAGCCAACCAGTTAACCGTGGATGGAACGGCGAGTTAATTGGTGTGGAAAGATGTCTAAGACTGTTTGTGGGCTTGCGAAAATTGAATAATTAGTTCACTCAGTAACGTATTCGTCGCACGTTCCTGGATGTCAGTCCTTCTTCGAAAAACCGTTTGTTTGTCAGGGGAAAGACGCCTAGTACTTAGGTTGGATGGTTGTAGTAAGGTCACTGTTTCCGAACACAGTGTCCTCCACCTTGTTTAATGCTGTTGTTGTTGTTGTTGTTGTTGTTGTTGTTGTTGTTGTTGTTGTTGTTGTTGTTGTTGTTGTTGCTGTTGTTGTTGTTTATTAATTTTATTTTACATCGCATGTCAAAAGGGCAGTTCTGCCCAATATTATGAAAGCGATGACAACCAGTAAGAAGAGTCAGAAATGAAGAGAGAAATAAATAAAATTAAAAATACGAAAATGGAAGTAGTAATGAGGGGAGGCAGGGTTAAGACGAACAGAAAAGGGATCTCAAATTTACAAGTCGGGTCATCGTAGCATGATTCTATCGAGCCGTATCAGCAGGTTGCGAAAGCCATTACATTTAACCCAAGTAAAATACGCGTAGCATGCGTTTGAATTCACGGACAGATACTATGGACTTCATACAGTCGGGCAGGCCATTCCAGAGTCGGCAGCTGGCTAGAAGCGGTCGGCATGCGCCAGAAGCACTGTGGGCCAGGGGGAGGGGAAGGTTGCGTCCCAACTGACCTCGAGTGGTCATGCCTGTCGGTGGGCCTTGCAATACAACTCGGGACGACAACAGCTCACTGACGATTCCAGAACTGATTCGAAACGTCAGGAGTCGTAGCTTGCATTCCCCACGTTCCAGCACTGGGCAGACACCCACTACATGTACGTGTACATTATGCATGTTACGAATTCATGACCTCTGGTTTTTAGCAGCCATGACTGTGCAGGCTATGAACATTGTTCTAATAATAATAATAAATCGAGGTATAGTTGAGGTTCGGTAATGATGGAAGGAGAGGTGGAGCTACGGGAGAGATGAGCAGAGGGTGAGAGTGACATTGGTTGTCAGAGCATGACGCGATTACGAAGACAGTTGAACATGATAATTTTCAAAGGTAACTCAAACTAATTTGGCAATGAAAAAATCTTTTCAACTAATGAATAGAAGAAGTAATGTTTTCTCTTTTCCGTCATTGGATCTCTAGGATGCATGGAAACCTTGGCATGGGGATACTCATGTATTTTGTTGTACTTATGGCCACTTGCAAGTACGAAAAATGCACAATTTCCCGAATTTCGAGGCTCCATACTTGTAAGTACAACAAAGTGATTATTAACTTAATCCTCGCGTGACAAAGCATAATATGAGGATGTTGTGTGCATAGTGCTAGAGTCCATGAAAGCATAATTCCATGATTTCGCCAGCATAATCCGCCGGAGCATAATGCATGGCCAACTTGGTATGGGGATACTCATGTATTTTGTATTTTTGTTGCACTTATGGCCACTTGCAAGTACAAAAGGGCACAATTTTCCGAACTCTGAGGCTCCATAAGTACAACAAAGCGAATAATGTATGCCCTCATGGCAAAGCATAATATGAGCATTTTGTGAGCATAATGCGAGAAAGCATAATTCCATGATTATTATTATTATTATTATTCTCGTATCCGTCCCGAAAGGGACTCACGACGGCAGAATTAACCGTGAGCATGTGTGTGTGAGAGTGGGAGAACGAAATGAAAAAGAAAAGACGAGTCTTGTAATAAAGGTCAAATTTAAGAAGAGCAGTACTAGACTAAATGGCTGAGCAGATGTTACTCCATTGTTTTCTGTCGCGGGCATAGGTGCCGAGATCACGAAGGCAGCTGGGCTTAAAAATGCAGATAGGTGTGAGGCGGACGTCTCGCTGGAGACTTGTGGTGAGGCAAGAGCGGGGTGCACCCATTCGAAAGGGCTGACTGGTAGCATATGTACAGAAAGCAGTGAGAGCAACATTTGCAGGGATGTCACTTGGCTGGCGTAATATATGT